ATCACAGGCCTTGCTACCGGATGTAGTTCATCGTCATACCCAGTACTATGCGGTGTTAGGGGAATGTGCGTTGTGTTGTAATGAATATCAGCTCGGAATGAGAAATCTGTTTGGATGTATGCTTCGTTAAATGGGACGTAACCGTCTGTGCTTCGTTAAATGGGACGTAACCTATGTTTATTTCGATGTAATACAACATTTCTGTTTGAATTTTTGAGACTTCTCGTTATTTGCATTATTTATATTCATATTATTGTCCTCATCAATACATTTCAGCCATTGTGCAGGGAATTCTCAATCTAAACCATTATTTAATCTACTAGCTTTTACATTTATTTAGTAATGTTCAGTTATTACCCGGCCCAGAGATTGAACCACTGCCACCAAAATCACAAACCAATACTTTTATCCACAAGGCCATGGTTCGTAGTGAACTTGACCTAACATAGTTGCTGATTAGGTTGAAACTGCTGCTACTGGCTGTCATGTTTTGACTTCTACTGCTGCCCATGTTTTCATCGCTGCTGCTGCGGTTGAAGACTTGTTGTCATTTGTCTTTCTATCTTTATTAGCGGCTCCCATATTATATTTATTTCTATGCTAGGCCTACTAAGAGAGTCCTCATATGCGCTGATTCTTTCAGACATCTAACTCTCTTCCTTGTTCAGTATTTTTACTTCATTCCACAAGAGCTGAGGAGTACCTCAAAACTTATCCCTTATAAAAGACAACATAGGATTTCACACACCATTTGACAAAACATAGAAGTTTACATCCCATCTCAGGAAATATAGAAACTTGCGCCCCATTTAACGAACGAAAGAACATTACGTTCCATCTAACGAACGAAAGAATATTACGTCCCAGCTAACGCAAAAGAATCTACGTCACACCGAACCGAATACAGGGAATCTTACGGCCGATCGAACCGAATACAGGGAATCTTACGGCCGATCGAACCGAATACAGGGAAGATTACGGCCAATCTGACCAAACGTGGAAGATTACGGCCAATCTGACCAAACGTGGAAGATTACGGCCGATCTGACCAAACGTGGAAGATTACGGCCAATCTGACCAAACGTGGAAGATTACGGCCAATCGAACCAATACGGGAATCTTACGGCCGATCTGACCAAACGTGGAAGATTACGGCCAATCTGACCAAACGTGGAAGATTACGGATCAATCCGACCAAACGGAAAGATTACGGCCGATCTGACCAAACGTGGAAGATTACGGCCAATCTGACCAAACGTGGAAGATTACGGCCAATCTGACCAAACGTGGAAGATTACGGCCAATCTGACCAAACGTGGAAGATTACGGCCAATCTGACCAAACGTGGAAGATTACGGCCAATCTGACCAAACGTGGAAGATTACGGCCAATCTGACCAAACGTGGAAGATTACGGCCAATCTGACCAAAGGACAAAAACTTGCAACAAAATAAATGTGAACAAACCGCATCATGAATTAAGACTGGAATAACATCGGAAATCCGTAATGAGAGGTGAGACAATAAAATCGGGTATGGCTGATCATGTATGGACAGAAAGAGGTTAAGTTTTGTTCGTCACATGGAGCGTTATTTTTTTTCGTTAGATGATTTCGGCAAAGACAAGATTGTCTTTACCGAAATCATTTAAACATGGATGAATGTAATTGGCAAAACTGCCCAACAAACAGAATTGACATAGTTTAAAAGAAGAGGACAAAAATAATATTAAGTAAGCAAACAATATATGCAAGACGAAAATAGGCAAAGCAATGGTAATGAGGCAAAAAGTTCAATAAACAACATACGAAAGGCAAATAAGACAAGCGCTCGCAGTGTTCTGCCTTCAAGTCAAGAAAGAACAGAATTAGAATACGACCAAGAAGTGGCCTATCTTATTGAATAAGAAGAAATCCTAGCATACATGTTTTGTCTATAAATTTGGGAAGGGGATATTTTTGCAGTAATTCCTTCAGTTAGCACCAACAATTTCTTTTACTACTTTGTCTAATGGTTTTCATTTTTGCTTCTGAATTTGACATCAACAGAATTACATCTAATCTTGTATTGTTAACGTTATATAATAAATCCTCGCGTTTTCTTAGGACAGGGATCGGCAACCTACGGCACGCGTGCAACATGTGGCACGCCAAGAAATTCTTAATGGCACGCAGCAGCAAATGATATCACGAAGTCCGAACCAATAACTATTACAACACAAGACAGTTTAGCTGTTTCAATTTTAATATATACTAAAGTATATATACTATATAAAATCTATTGTAGAACAGGTATATTGACCTTGACTTGTATAAAAAAATACGTATGCTGTTGGCAAACTGAATGATTTTAAAACCCTAAGTCAGCATATAGTCAGCAAAAGATTGCCGACCTCTGATTTTGACCCTTGGGACTCAAGTTCACCCCTGACCATAATTCAGATATACGATCCATTGCTAAGATTGCTGGAAAAATGGTCGGCATTATCAAAGAAGATATTTAACGGTTTCAATTTTAATATATATTAAAGTATATATACTATATATTACTATATAAAATATATTGTAGAACAGGTATATTGATCTTGACTTGTATAAAAATACGTATGCTGTTGGCACACTGAATGATTTTCAAACCCTAAGTCGGCATATAGTTAGCAAAAGTTTGCCGACCCCTGGTCTACAGGATCTCTTTCTGTCTGGTTTAAATAAATCCAATGATTCTCTTAGACCTTTTTCTACTTTTATGTATTCCCTGAATTCATTCTTTATCCGAATGTAGTCTGTTTGTTCTCAGTATTCTTCAGATGATCATGGCTCTCCACAACATCCATCGTAGCTCTTGGCAACGTTTATCATTTAAGCCCTCTCACTCTCTGTTCTATCGTCCATATTAATCAAGCACGTGACGTAGGATACTCACTGCTTTCCTCTATCGAATGTTTTGTGAGTGTCAAATTCTACAACGCGCCCCCTCTTTATTAGGAGTCCAAGAAATTCTAGTTCCCTCTTTATGATTCTAATTGTCCTTTTTGTTTCCACTTTCCTTTAAAACTATTTCATTGTTTACGTGCTCTGATATTTCTATTGCGTCCATTTTTATCTTCATTTGCAAGGAGATTGTCCAGTATTCCTAAAAGAGGATCGATATTGAGATTTATTGTAAATTAATACAATTATGGCACAAGGCCAAAAAAGAGGAATGGTTTGAAGCTGGTCTTCACTATCTTATCCCTAGCTAATCGGATTCATGACCCATTCACTCGTTACAATTTCCTCATTCACCATAAAAACTATTCCGTCATCAATCAATCATCCATACACCATAATACCACATCCTCTCGGGGGACAGGGAGGGGCTAAAAAAAGAGGATCGATATTACGTAACAGTTCAGAACTCTTTTCTTTGTTGCTAATGAATTTTTTCCAGTTTCTTAATACTTTGCTTAGCTTTTGGAAAGTATCTTCTGCCATTCCAATGCGCCTTCGGATTTCGGTGTTACATCCCCTGTTAATGAACATCCCAGATGTTTGAACTTCCGTACTTGTTTGATCTTGACATTTCGAATTCGTAGTTTGAATCTTGAAATTTTTCTCTTGCAGACAACCATATATACTGTCTTAAAATTGATAGTTGGTCCTTTCTTCTCGCTTTCCTTTACTACCCGGTCTAGTGTTTCCTTTAGTTTTCCTTCTGTAACTGTCATCGGCACATCTTGTGAGTGTCTTCGTGTGTTGTAGGCGTGTGCGTATTCACTTATAGACAATGTAGAAGAAAAAAACATGGGTTTCTTCTAAGGACCATTTATTATATATATATATATAAAATATGTGTGTGTGGAAACAGAGTTCTCAATGTGACTTAGCTATATACGTTTCCGTTTTCTGATCCAGAAGTTAGGGTAAATAATGATAAACATGGGTATAATGGTCGATCTCAAGTCAGCCTTGCGCTGAGTTGGAATGACCAAAGTAAAGTTCGGGCTTACTTCATCGGTGGAGTTTAGCCAAAACACCTACGAACGCTAAGCGCTGGAACGGGGAAAGATTTCATTCATCAATCGAGCGACGTTCCCCTGCGGGTATGTCTTTATTCACGTCTGCTTCATCTTGGATTAAAGAGGAGAAAGTTGAAGCGGAAGGAAATGTTTATCTTTTTATAGACTTAAACAGCGCCACCTAAAGGGCGTTTAGCGAAACGAAGTGGGGTAATAATATTTCCGGTTACTTTATTACAAGAATCATAGGAAATGTATTTTTCTTTTTCTTTTTTATTCATTATTATTTTTATTATTATTATTATATTTATTGATTTTTTTTATTTTCCGCAGTCCTAAAAGCTTAATTCTAAATATTCATAGACTCGGGGCCTAATTTAAAAAATAAAAATAATCAAAAATACTAAAATGTCCTCAAATAAACAAACGTACACTAAATTAAACTACTTTTGCTATCGTCCTGGTTTTTGGTGTTGGTTCCTGAGCATTTTCAGCTTAATGATTATTCTGCCGCTACTGACAACAATAAGGATTGAGAGAAACGAAAACTGTGGGAATGAACGAATGAAGGAATTTGAAGAAGAGAAATGAAGATCATGAAATGTAAGAAAAATATGTTAATGGAGTGGAAGAATAGAAAAAATAAATACAAGAACGAACACCAGAAAAATGGATGAAATAGAAAAAGAAAAATATATTTTTCTGTATCGTAACTTTAAAGAAGACATTAACGAATGGGGGCTTATTACGTAACGGAAATGATAGTCGATTTCCTACCGGTATTGAAGAATAGGTAAAAAGCTAGGATTTCGTTCGGATGCTGATCTGCAAAATAGGAAGTACCTCCTCACTTAAAGAATTGGCAAAGCTTAGTTTTCCTATGTTTTGGTAAATATCGCAGAAATCACTAAAACAAACGAAAACAAATATTCCAGACAAAATGAAAGAAGATGAAGACGAAAGGAATAAAGTAGATGAAGAAAAATATAGGATAGAATTAAGAATCATAGAATGAAGCAATGAATGAAGGAGGTAGAGAGACCGAAAGAAAGACAGAGACCTAGAGAGAGACTGAAAGAAAGACACACAGAGAGAGAGAGAGAGACTGAAAGAAAGACACACAGACACAGAGAGAGAGAGAGAGAGGAAGTAAGCGTTCTCAAAGCAAATTTGTGGCTTTCACAACACAAAGAAAGAGAATCACTTGTAACACGTCAGGAAAATAACTCACGAACGCCGTAGCCAAAACTGCCCGAATTTTTCCTCTCGAGTCGACAACACCAACTGCTTTTATCGGCAGAACCTATTTTTTCCATTCGTCGACAGCCGGGATAGGATGCTCCGTAATTTGCATATTAATACACTCTTATAGCGACTCCTGCGACGAACTTGTTTTTTTTCGCTTGGGTTGACGAGGTAAGTCGCTATAAGAGTTTTGCTGACTACTTTTCTTTTTAATCCCTCCCCGGCAGATCGCACACAAAACACGAACTTTTTTCCGGGGTACTTGATTATCTCGTTCACTACAGAGAGACTGAAAGAAAGACACACAGACACAGAGAGAGAGAGAGACTGAAAGAAAGACACACAGAGAGAGAGAGACTGACACAGAGAGAGAGAGAGACTGAAAGAAAGACACACGGAGAGAGAGAGAGAGAGACTGAAAGAAAGACACACGGAGAGAGAGAGAGACTGAAAGAAAGACACACGGAGAGAGAGAGAGACTGAAAGAAAGACACACGGAGAGAGAGAGAGAGAGAGAGACACACGGAGAGAGAGAGAGACTGAAAGAAAGACACACGGAGAGAGAGAGAGAGAGAGAGAGAAAGAAAGAGAGAGAGAGAGAGAGAGAGAGACTGAAAGAAAGACACACGGAGAGAGAGAGAGAGAGAGAGACTGAAAGAAAGACACACGGAGAGAGAGAGAGAGAGAGAGACTGAAAGAAAGACACACAGAGAGAGAGAGAGAGAAGACTGAAAGAAAAAGACACACGGAGAGAGAGAGAGAGAAAGAAAGACACACGGAGAGAGAGAGAGAGACTGAAAGAAAGACACACGGAGAGAGAGAGAGAGAGAGACTGAAAGAAAGACACACGGAGAGAGAGAGAGAGACTGAAAGAAAGACACACAGAGAGAGAGAGAGACTGAAAAAGAAAGACACGGAAAGACTGAAAGAAAGACACACGGAGAGAGACTGAAAGAAAGACACACGGAGAGAGACTGAAAGAAAGACACACGGAGAGAGACTGAAAGAAAGACACACGGAGAGAGACTGAAAGAAAGACACACGGAGAGAGAGAGAGAAAGACACACGGAAGAAAGACACTGAAAAGAGAGAGAGAGAGAGAGAGACTGAAAGAAAGACACACGGAGAGAGAGAGAGAGACTGAAAGAAAGACACACGGAGAGAGAGAGAGAGAGACTGAAAGGAAGGAAGACACAGACAGACAGAGAGAGAGACTGAAAGGAAGGAAGACACAGACAGACAGAGAGAGAGACTGAAAGGAAGACAGAGAGAGAGACTGAAAGGAAGACAGAGAGAGAGACTGAAAGAAAGGAAGACTGACTGAAAGAAGGAAAAAGAGAGAGACTTAAACAAAGGAAGACAAAATAAAAAAGGAAAAATAAAGACAAAAAACGGTGAAAAAAAAAAAAAGAAAAAAATGAAAGAGAATAAATAAAGTGAAGAAAGAATATAGAAACATAGTAAAAGAAAGAAAAAACAAGAAACCAAAATGAAAAAGTAGGGAAGAAGGAAGTTTGGAAGGAGGAAGAAGCCAAAAAGGCAAAGAATGAAATAAGGAAGGAAAGAATAAGTGGGGTGAAGGGAGAGTAGAGCGGGCGAAAAAAATAAAATGTCAGGAGGGGATAGAGAAGGAGAGAAAAAAAAACAATTACACTTAAAAAAAAAAAAAAAAAAAAAAAGGCAAAGAACGAAATAGAAGGAAAGAATAATGTGAATGAAGTTCGAATATTGCGAGCGAAAAAAAAAAAGAATGAACAAAAACAAGGAACGAGAGAAGTGTGAAGCATAAAAAGAAAAAACATTTAAAAAAAAGCAACAAACGGAACAAGAAAAGAAAAAATAAACGAAAAACAAGGAACAGTAAAGCGGACGAAAAAAAAAAAAGGGAAGAATAAAAGAAAAAAAAACACCAAGAAAACTATCCAAGATAAATGAATTAAGAGATGAAAAAAAAAGAAACCAAGCAGGCAACAAAAAAAGGCAACTATCTTAAATGATTCTATTTGTGCCGTCTTAGATCAACCAAAGTTACAAATTCGGAGTCCAATCAAATTTGTCCATTTACAAAGAAGGAAGTACAGATGACAGGAGAAGCTTTATTATGAAATCTTCTTTTGAGATTTTCAAGGTAATAAACAAGATCAAAGAAGCAAACAAAAATGTCGGCGAAAGAACAGAAGAAATTGCTTCAGGAAAACTGGTAGGAGACATTTTTGCGGGTTTTACGGCGAAAACTCCTTTTTATAGTCGTAAAACGGTAACTACTGAAATTTAGAATAATTAATCGAAAAAATAAGATTAATCAAGCACTGAATAAAACGAGGACACTGAATGGCTAAAAAAAAAAACAAAAAAAAAAAAACAATTACTACCACTGTAAAGATCACTTGACACTGGCCATATAAGCACCAAATTCAAAATTTCTTTCTTGCGAGAGATTGTAAGGTTACTTTATTATTAATATCCGGAGAAGAATATTTGCATGCTTTGAAAAAGCAATTTTATGGGCGAATTTTTCCTAAAAATGGTATTTGTTGGTTGGAAATTTATCGGGAAAAAAAAAAAAAATTGAGATTTTTATTGTATGCTACCTATCCAGAATCCGCCATAAAAATTCAGGATCTGAAATTAGTAAATACTAAACACTTCAAATACATCGCTATATGGATCAGTTATATTCATTTTAGTGTAGGAGAAAAGGAAATTGAACGTAGAATAAACTGCGCTCGGATTAGTTTCAGTTGCTGAAAAATCAAAACCTTATTCCAAAAACTCTAGTCATGTTCTTAAACAGCCTAGTCAAATCGAGACTTTTATGTGAATGTTGTGCATGGCGCCAAATTCGTTGAGAAACATCTAGACTGTCAGTTGTATCTAATCGCATTCAAAGATCAATTATCGTCGAACAGATGGTGCATATAGATTTTAGAGACGACTATCATTCTTAGAAACTCGTGGACAAGTGATACAGAATCATAAACCAACTAACCTTTAGCACTCTCAATAATTAATATTACTGTTATGAATAATTAAGAGTGGTTTTCCATTGTTTTGTTACTCTCCTCTTTGAGAGAGCTATTTATATTTACTGGGACTATAAAAGGACACTATAGGCGAAACTTGTATTCTCAGTTAAATAAAGCTTTCTTTCTTTCTGCGTACTTTTGTCATTACAATTACTTCCCCTTCCACTGCATTATTTGTCAAGGCTTCTCAATTACAGTATCTTTATTTACATTATTCGAACTATTGTCCTCATCTTTGTCGCCAAATTTATTACAACGTTTCCTTGTACACTCCGGCCTTCTTCAGGTGGTTGGAATGTCAAACTGAACCCTTTATTTCGCTCATTGGGGTAGACTGTTCTAGTTCCACTGTTTTCGTTTCTTGTTTAGGCCTTGTAAACGTAGTATTAGACGTAATAAGCTTAGCCGCACGAATATCTTTGATAGAAAACTTTCATTATGACAGGCAGCCCCGCCCAAAATAGGATAGTCCAGGTTTGTTTTATTCTTGCTTTTTTCCATCAAGTTAATTTAGCTGGCCGATGTATGCTCATTGGCCTCTTTTATTTCTGTCTTTACTTTCTTTAGTTTAATCCCCACTCTCCTCCCCCGTTAGGTGACAGAGATGTCAGTTCTCTGGTAGATGCGGGGCGCTTTTCGTTTTTCGAATGTTTTTTCGTATTTGTTTTTGTGTCTGGATGCGCGTGTGTTTGAGTGACTTTTTGGTCGAATGGTTGTTATTAAATACCTAGGCCCTCATTAATTTCGTCCATTTCTGCCATATTTAAGGATTTTTTTTTTATTACTAACAGCATTTTGTTTAGTTTCTTGTATATAAATTGTATTCACTGTTAATATTCATTGAGGTTTCATTTTCAAATGTTATTTTTATTCCCCACCCCCACGGACAAATTGTACATGTGGGAACTAGTTAGGGCTTCATAGAGACTCTGAGGTATTATGGTGGCTGCAGTAAGAACGTGTTTTGGTTTAAGGAATACTGTGATATATTTGGGTCAGTAATCATGGCTAGCTAAGTTTAAGATAAAACAGATTGAAGATCAGCCTTCCTATATCACCCACCCCTTTTGGCCATGGGCCACATTTTTGTATTTTCAAAATAAATATTTTTTTTCCTCTATGGTACAAATTTTACATGTGGGAACTAGTTAGGACTTCATAGAGACTCTGAGGTATTATGGTGGCTGCAGTAAGAACGGTAAGTAAGAATGCGTTGTTTTGGTGTAAGGAATACTGTGGTATATTTGGGTCAGTAATCGTGGCTAGCTAAGTTGAAGATAAAACAGACTGAAGACCAGCCTCCCCCATTTCCCCGTTTATCCTTGTATTTTTTGTATTATAACAAATATTATTTTCATTATGATTGATTTTCTTCTTCATATTTTTGTGGTGTGTTTTAAATCTGATAATCGTCTTCAGCTGAGATTTTTTTCGCTGGGATATTATCGTGGTTGAATTTTTTTTTTTTTTTTTATTAATCTTTCTTTACGTCATATTTCTCTGGTTAGTTTAAAACGAGACTATTATGTAAAGAAAAGTGTGTAAAATCGTTCTTGATTCTCTGGGTTAGCAATTATTAGGTTGGTGCAAAAATAATGCCGTATTAATGTCGTTTTTTGACGTTAAAAATATGTCAAAAAACGACATTATTACGTCATTATTTTTGCACCAACCTAATACTTCAATTCTTTTCGTCACTTCCTCCGCGTCACATGTGTCCTCCTACACGATACAGCAGTCACCGTCTGTGTGTCGCCTCCTTACGCCTTTTTTATCACCTCGTTGACAGCCAAAATTTACATATGCGAAAAGATACTCTCACAAGAGAGATTATCCAACTCTGGGATCTGTTTTAAATGGGTAATCCGCGAAGCCGCCATTTTTCCTTTTTGGGCTGTTTGCATTCGAGACACATTGGAATCTGTGTTCGCCCGGTGGTGAGCCATTTTCTTCTTCCCTGGGCCTCTTTTGCTTTCTTCGATAGTTCACTACAATTACAACAGCTATTAGTCATAATTGTCTTCTGTTGTTGAAATATATTACATGAAATATTGTCATTATGATTACCTTTTTTTACACTTATTTTTTTTTATCTGTCTATATTTTTGAGATGAGGTATTATGTACACTATTTACATTGTTCGGACTATCGTGCTCATCTTTGTTGCCATATTTATCACAACGTTTCGGCCATTGTACGCTCCGGCCTTCTTCAGGTGGTTGGAATGTAGAACTTAACCCTTTAATTCGCTCGCTGGGGTAGACTGTTCTAGTTCCATGTGCTATGTCTAAAAGATGTCATTTATCAGTTCTCTTGTTAATTCACCTCTCCAAGTTCTCCACTGCCTTAAACAGGTATTGAACTCACAACTTTTTCGGTCCTGTCACTGGATCTAACAAACGCCTTTATCCACTGTTGAGTCCTGTTCTTTTTTTTTTTTTCTTTTTTTTTTTAATTCTTTCCTTTTTTGGAACTTATTAGACGTAATAGTCTTAACCTAATTTAAGAGATTCTTATTGGTTATGTCCACTTTTTCACTAAAAAAAAGTAGCATACCCCAATGAAAAAGTCCCCAAACTTTATATAGAAGTTTTATCGCGAAAAAGTGTTATTAAATAGAGGAGACCAAAATACTTTTTAATTATTTTTTTTTCTTTTTTGCACGTTTGAAATTTTGGTTGAAAATCCTTTTTTTTTTTTTTTTTTTTCATTTTTTTTTTTAGGTCAGAGGTCACCTAATAGTTAGCATTAGATTTTTAGCGCCTTTTTCAATTGAAAACACATTAATGTTGAAATTATTGCAAAAATCAAATAATTGTTGGAATTTAATGAAACTTAGCAGAACTTATTCAAAAATGAATTAATTTATTTTAGAAATGTTTTTAGAAAGTCATGATAAAATGTTTTTTTACATCAGTTACCTCCCCTACTTTAGGAAAACTTTAAAACTAGAAAATGTTTAACTGAAATTTTTTTTTAATTAAATGAAGAAGGCTTTGAGGAAAAAAAATCATAATTTTTTGTAAAATTTTAATCGCAACAACCCAAATTTTAGCTCTGAATTTAAAATATAAAACTCAATAAAACTAAAACATTAATTAAAAAAGCTTTTAATAGATTTTATGAATAATATATATTAAGGACGTCTCTGTCTGAAGCCAAATTTTTTTCGGTTGAAAAATGAATTTTTACAAGAATTGTTTTTTCTTTTTTTTTTTTCTTTTTTTTTTCAATTATAAATAAAAAAGTGATAAAATTGATAATTGTTTTAAAATTAAATTTGAAACTGTAAAACTCTGGAAATTCTATTATTAAAAAGGTCTATTTTTACAGATCATAAATTAGAAAGCTTATTAAAATCTATTAGTATCATTTTTTTTTTTTTTTTTTAAATAAATTTTTATTATGCCAAAAAATGTATTAAAATCGTCTCCAACAAAACTATGGATGCACATTTCTACAAAAAATATCACGTGTGCTAGTTATTTCCCCTGATTGCATTACACTTAAAATTAACACAAATTTGGTCATGTCTGTCCCACCATCCGTTAAATTCCCCTGATGTACGTCAATTCAAACTTCACAAAACCAATCACCACGGTTGGATATGTCTCTCTTAAAAAATTTTCTGTTAAAAAATTAAGTAATGTTTCTTTCAAATTAAGTATACTTCAAATTTTCTAATTTTCCTAAAATAACTTTTGAAAAAAAGTATAATTGAATTTTACAAGATTTTTAAATGGGGAATTTGACTTCTGTTTATAAAACTGTCAATGATGGAAGATATGATTGATTTTACGTCAATTTTGATGATTTGAAAAAAAAAAAATTTTAGCGAAATTTTTGAACGTGCTAGAAAGGATTAAAAAATGTTTAAAATACTCCAAAAATACTTTGGTCTTTCCTCTTTATAATGACATAAACATTTAGACAATACAAAAAACAATTTAACCACGTTTGGGGTTTGTTTTTTTTGTTTTTTCATCAGCGTATATTTTTTTTTTTTTTTTTTTTTTTTTAGCGAATTTTTGGATATTCCTATCTTAAATAAAACAGTGAAATATTCATGACAATCTATATTTTCCTCCTTGTTTTTCATTTCCACCTATTCGTAGTGTCAATACGACACTAAGAAATACTAGAATAGCTTGATTTACACGATAAAGATATTCGATAATGCGTTGG